TTGGTCCCCTGCCGCCCCCCCCCCCCTTCCCCCGTCTTGCCTTCCTTGGGCCAAAAAGAAAATTCGGAAGAACAATGCTGCAAGACGTCTGCAGTGCCTGTTGAGAGGGAAACAACAGGGGGAGAAAAGGAAGAAAAGAACCTGATCGCGTCTCGTTGGCCGCTCTCCTCATTCTCGAGCAACACCAGACCAGCCACGAACTCGCCATCCGGACCACACTGCTTCAGGTTCGCTCCTACCTGTCGCGCCACGCCCAGGCAGCACCCTCTTATAGCATCGCGACGTACATTGCCTGGCTACACCTACCTTACCTAGGTACTCACCCTACGGCACCGCACCAAACCGCACCACACCACACCACAGGTGATTCAGTGAGGGGTGAGCCCGACAGTGGACAGGGCAACCAGGCAAACAAGCAACCAAAGAAAGTACAGCTGGATCCGAGGTACCTGCTCGGCCGCATCTGCCCTGAGTGAGGGTATCAAAGTCCCTTTACACCCCCGCCAGTTAAACAGGCTCTCCAATCTCCCCTCTCTTTCGACAAGCCTGACCTGCAACGGCGACGAACTACACACACGACGACATCTTCATCCCTCATTTCTCTCTTCTCTCCTTCTCCGCCCCCTCACCTTCTATCCCTCAGCTCGCTACTCCGTCCGGCCTGCCGTGCTATCTATTTCCCGCTGTGCGAGCACTGTTGTTCCCTGTCGCCGCCGCTACTTAGACCACAGGACGCCCGTGCTTTTTTTTCATCTTGCTTGTCCTCCAGTCGAATCAAATCATCACCGACTCGACCATCCCCGGGTCCGTTCCCCGACTGGCCCACAGCTGCGACCAGAACCAACCTCTCGACTCATGATACGATCGATCACTTACTCTGTCCTCCGCATTTTTGCCTCCGTTTCTTCGTGTCATCATATCGTTACCGCGTCAGGTTTCTCGCCACGTTCCTTTCGCCTCAGCTTGCTTTAATAGCCTTGCCCGCGCTCGCGCTGGGACTTGGATTTGCACGTGGTCTCGTTCTCGTCTTGCCTCACCTGCACCGCCAGCACTGGGGGGTACCAACCGAAAGAACAAAGGGCTCAGACAGTTTACTGAAACCCCATCATCGCCACCAAACCCATTTCGACACGCGCTTTCACTACCTGCATCCGCCGTCGGGCATGTTGTAGGGCCCCCTCCTGACCATCCGCCATGTCTCGTCACAAGCACCATCAGTCCTGGTACGCTTCACTGCCGCCGTCCTGTCTTCCCATGATTGTGAGGTCATATGCTGATTTTGCTGATGTCTAGTCGGGACCTCCATGTTGTTGTGCTAGGAGCCGGTGAGAAGCGCAGTATAGTCTTTGTAAGGTATTTAGGTGACTGACCGTTTCGCAGGAGGTGTCGGCAAGAGCTGTTTGACTGGTGAGATGACCCAGAACATTACCTCACCCCTAATGCCGTGTCACTGTCTAACTCATCGACTGTGCAGCTCAGTTTGTACATAATGAGTGGATTGAAAGCTACGACCCAACAATCGAAGACACGTACCGAACTCAACTGCAAGTTGATGTAAGATACTGATCTCTCTGACCAATCTTGGCCTGTGACTAACGCCTCTCTGTAGGGAAGACAGGTTGTCCTGGAGATGTAAGTTGAGCAGTACGGCATTGGCATGCACATGTCTGATCATTCATAATTTTTAGTCTCGACACCGCCGGCACAGAACAGTTTGGTATGCATGTGTCTTCTTTCATATGCTAGTTCTATTCTAACATGGTTGCAGTCGCCATGCGGGATCTGTACATGAAATCAGGCCAAGGATTTATCCTGGTCTTTAGCATCACCTCGGGCTCATCCATGAACGAGATTGAGATGTTACGAGAAGAAATCACTCGAATAAAAGACGATGAAAACGTACCCATCGTTATCGTCGGAAATAAGGCCGATCTCGAGGAGCAGCGGGCAGTGCCCCGCCAAAGGGCCTTCGCCTGCTCCCAGATGTGGGATGCGCCGTATTATGAGACGAGTGCCAGGACGAGAAGTAAGCCAATCCTCGCCTCAACTTTGTAACAAAGGTGCTAATGTCGATCTCAGCGAATGTCGATGCTGTATTCATCGACATTTGCCGCCAACTACTTCTCAAGGACGAGCGGTTTAGAGACGCCGATGGCAGGGACAACTACGGCCGCGATGACGACAATGACACAGGCATCATGGGTCTCGCGAAACGCAAGCGGAGGCGAGGACGACGACCAGATGGCCATCGATGCAATATCCTATGAGAGACAAATCTCCATGCAAGTCTCCGTGCGCGAGGGTTTTGAAAAAAAAAAAACACTACAAACAAGACGATGTTTCGTCGGTGCTCATCGTCCAGCACAGTACATGCGGATGAGACTGAATCTCTTCTCTATTTGTATAAATTATCATACCGCCACAACAACGGCGTGGCAAGTAAAGGCCATCTTGGATACGGAAATGATATGGGGATCAAACAAGGTTGTGAAGGAGCGGGAATGGCAGAACCGCAAAAAAAGAAAAGGTAGTTCACTTGGACGAACGGCACGACGTCACGATATGCACACCGGCTTAGAAGCGAGCACTCGCATCTCACACGAATGTTTCTTCCCAGGCAAGGAGAGAAGACCAGAGGAGGATGAGAGGAACTTGGCCCTCGCACACCTACCACTTTTGGTGAATGACTTTTTTTCAGTTGGAGTTTGATACAACATGGAGACAGGACCAGGCGTTGGAAGGTGGACGTGGGGCGAAATGAGCATTGAGCTGTCTTCGCAACTGGTAGGTTTCATGTTTTAGGGCAATACATCACGGGCAACCAGCAATGACCCTCAGGACTTGACGGTTCCCTTGGCACGTACTGTTATCTACATGATGTAGGCAACTGGGTACCTTCTCAACGTTCGTCTAGTGCTCGTGGCTGGGGTCTCTGCGCCCGTATGCACCAACTCAAGCCGCATCTGGATCGTTGGGCTCAAGTACCATGTATCGCTTAGGAACGTGGCGTTGTCGTTGATACTGGGCAAGACGGTAGAGGCGACCCCTTCTTTGCAAGAATACCCCGGACGCCCCAGGAGATGACGCAGTTGCCGAGTATCCTGGAGACCTATGGTGCATGATGCCCAGTGATCACGATGCGAAGAAGCATAACGGGCGCTGATGTTGAGCACTGCGCGCGATTCATCTCCGTCTCTGAGTTTCACGGACCAGGTCCGCACCTTCCATGAGAAGGGTGCCAAATAATATAAGAGCGTAGAGGAGGGAGACTGTCGACGGTTTTGGCGGCTGAGGGTCGGCTGAGACAGAAGTTTCGAGAGGCTATCTGGGAACTTAGTTCTGCAGGCTTATCACATGTCACAGATAACTTTGAGGATGAACAGATGCACGAACAACCTTCTGTCATTCATATTCGAATGCATACCATTGGCACTTGGCATTGTTCTGTCTTCGATAGTCTGGTTTGGGGGGCGCATTCGTCCTTGTGTCTACGATGTATGCTATACTCGGAGTCATGGCCGCAATGTCGGCCGCGCGGACACCGTGGAAGTCGGTCTTGAGGCAGATGGAGATCATTATAGCCTTCCACAAGAAGATTGGGGCCTTCAATAACTCAAGTTTCACCAGGTCACGCTCGCTCTCGTCGTACCTATGGACATTGCAAACCTTCATCATGGTGTCCTTCATGGAAATGTTTACAATAGGTTTGACATGAACATGATGGGCAGGAACTCTGCTATGTAATCAAAATGCTAGGAAAACTTCACTCGAGGACGAGCCGCCGTCGCCAGCCATTACCTGTTCGACTTTGGCCTTGAGTCTTAGAATTCGGGTCACAGAGCTGTCCTCGCCGAACACCACAGTAATCGATGTTGATAACCAACAAGGACTCAGCTCAGCCAGCCGCAATCTACGGTTTCTTGCTGAAGCTCCTGTTCAGAATATCCTTTATTCTGTCACTCTTGGTGTTGTGCATCAAGTTCTCACCTGCTTGAGATACCAAAGAAAACTCACTTCTTCCCAGTTCAGCCCAATGAGCGATCGCGCAGATCGTCACCACTCAAGCGTCTCGTTCTTGGGATTGAAAATTCCAGTACGCGATGGTCAGAGAGACACACTAAAAAGAGAGACCAAAATCATCCCGCCATATGTCCGGCTGGTGAAGCCGCATCCCGTTGACCCCTCACCCCACTCGCGCAACTCACGATCAAATGGAAGCCAACGTCCGCTCGCTGCCCCCCACCATCACATCAGCCCAACGACAGACCACCTGCAAAGCCGCCGCCGAGACCGAAACCCAGTATGCCGTTCCCCCACAAGCAGGTCCTGATCACAGGCGCCACGTCAGGCATAGGCCTGGCGCTCACGGAGCGCCTCCTGGCGAACAAGATATCCGTCATAGCCGTCGCCCGCACGACGGCGCGCCTCGAAGCGCTCCTCGCCAAACACGGCCCCGCCCACCTGGCCATCGAGCCGCTCGACGTGACCGACCTCGCCTCGCTGCCCGACTGGACGGCCCGCATCACAGCGACCTACCCAGCCGTGACGGCCCTGTTCCTGAACGCGGGAGTCCAGCACGCCCTGCCCCTCGGGGCCCCCGACCACCGCCACCGCCACCGCCGACGTCCTCGCCGCGACGACGGCCGAGCTGACGACAAACTACCTCGCGCCGCTGCACACGACGCTGCTCTTCCTGCCGCACCTGCGCGCCCACGCCGCCGCCGGCCGCCCCGCTGCCCTGTACTACGTCACGTCGGCCCTGGCCCTCGTGCCGCTGCCGCGCTGCGCAAACTACTGCGCCAGCAAGGCCGCGCTGCGCGCCCTCGCCTGGCAGGTGCGGGCGCAGCTCCGGGACGAGGAGCGGCAGTCCGGCCAGGACGCCGTCAGGGTTGTCGAGATTGTGCCGCCGGCCGTGCAGACTGAGCTTCACACGCGACAAGGCCTCGCGCCCATCGGGATGCCACTCGCGGATTTTATCGATGAAATGTGGGTGGCCCTCGAGAGTGGCGAACAGGATGAGATCCTCGTCGGGCCCGCGAAGGAATATGCTCACATCGATGACGCGAAGACGGAGGCATTCCAGCAGCTCTTAGAAGCGAGGCGCGGCCAGGAGGACGAGGCTTAGCACATTGGGGTAGAAGATGACGGGTGACTGTGTCACTGCGCGGCCTCTCGCCATGGATCAGGAACATGATTGGCATCCAATTTATTGTGCCGTCCTAAACTATCTATTTACACCCCCAGCACGCTGCGGCGTAGGACACTCGGTCCGACCCGATAGCTGTTGGGGGGACGCTGGCTCCAGCTGGGGAAATCCATGCATGAAGAATGCAACGGTTTGACGCCCTCACCCGCGAAACTTCATTCGCCCATGTCCACAGCGCAGGAAAACAAACAAAAACAAACAAACAGAAAGCCAGTAACCCAAAAACCCCTTTCCAGACGAGGAGAGGACCGTCTCCAAAAGCCTGGCAGTTTCGGTCCAAGTACCCTTCGCTCGCGTGGTATCACACACTCTCTGCCTCTTATCAACAAATCAAGCCTGTTCCCCTCATCAGTGGGCCTCTAATTTATTGCCCAATTCCCTCGCCATCGCGAGGCGAGGGTAGTCGAATCGAAAACTTGGTTGGGCGATGGTCTTGAACCAAGCTCAGCGAGAAGCAAGGCCAAAGTGAAACCAACGCCGCGTGAAGTGAACACCGTAAAAAAGTCGTACACAGATGAACCCTGGCCGATCGTGGAGTGGAGCCTGCTCACCATCGGGGGGCTAGGGATCTACCCCGCCCTCCCCGGGAAGCAGGTCATGGAAAAGGAGAGACATGAAGGCGCATGGTCGTCATTAACGTACGTCTGGAAGAAATGGCCAATCGAACCCTCAGGGCATGGCCAGCGGGCCGCTCTTGCGCTTTTCGGCGCTTGTCAGGACCAGCATGGGCGCCTTGCGCTGGCCTTCGGCCGTCTCGACCTCGGTCTTCTGGCCGGCGTTCTTGAACACGCTGGCAAACGAGTTATCCCTCTCCGACTCGCAACCCGACGTGGCGCTGCTGATACTATCGAGGCTCTTGCGCGTTTTCTGGCGCGAACCCGGGCGGTCGGACCCGATAGCACCCCAGCTGCCGTTGGTGGAGGTGCGCGAGCTAGGCAGGGAGCACTCCATGTCACCGGACAGGCTACCCGAGCCACTACGCCCGGAGTCAGACTCGTTGTCAGTGATGGGGGTGTGCACCTCCTCAGCGCTCTCGGAAACGGGGCTCATGCTTCCGCTCGAGCTGCCAGTTCCCTTTCTCCTCTCCCGACCGGCGCGGACAAGGTTGTGAACTGCGCATCGACGGGTGCGAGCCGCAAAGTTCTTGCTGCCCTCGTGCTTTGTGGTAGGCTTGGCCTTGAGTTCCTCAATCGAGGGCGGGCCACGGGGCTGGCGCACTGGGTGCTCGCCAGCCCGCGCCTGGCCCGGTCCGTAGCCACCAGTCAGCGGCGTAACTGGGAAAGAGGCAGTCCGGGGACCAGCGGACTTGGGAGCATCGTTGGAAAGGGCGAGCGAGTTGTTGAGGTTGGGCATCGCGAGGGAGACAATCTTCTTGTGGCCGCGACGGAAGGCGTTGGCGGATGGGGGAGGGAGAGGAGCGACGTCAATGGGCGACTCGTTGCGCTTAGGAGGCGAGTTGCTGCGGAAGAATGGAGTCGTGTTGTTCTCGGCGGGAGGGGAGACCTGGACGCGAGGCGTGCTGTTCTGCGGCGTTGGCTGATGGCTTCCGTAGCCCTGTGCAAGCTGAGACTGTTCAATGAAGGCTGCCATGTTGGACTGCCCAGCGTTGGGGTCAACGTAGTATTTGGTCTGTCCGGTCATGGGATCGACGTAGGCATACACTTGTTGCTGCTGCTGCTGCTGCATCTGTTGCTGATTGCCCATGGTGCCAAGCATGGACTGCTGCATAGACTGCACACGCTGCTGATGCTGGTACATGGCCATCTGTTGCTGCTGCATCTGCATCTGCATCTGCTGCTGAGCACCGCCGATATTGAGGCCCTGGAACTGTTGAGCAGCTACCTGGATATTGAGGAGCTCTTGCTGAAGAGCTCGCTGCTGCTGGGCCAGGTACATGTTGGTGGCGACCAGCTGAGCATACAGCTGGGGGTCCATCTGGTCCTGATCGTCGACGTGGATCTCAGGAGGAGCGAGGACCTGCTCAGTTGTGAATTGTTGCTGCTGCTGGTTCATGTTCATCATCTGGTTGTACGCCTGCTGCTGGCCATACTGGGGCAGAGCCGTCTTGGGAGCAGTGTAGGCATTGGTACCCTGTGGGTAGATGCTGCCAGCGATGCTGTTGCGGTTGCTGAAGGTTTGGGCAGTGGGAGAGGCCATGCTTGAAGAGTTCGCAAAGGTGGAGGCAGTGGCCGATTTGGGGGCGGTCCGAAGCCCAGCGAGCAGGTGAGAGCGGCTCGTGCGTGGGGTGGGAACGCCGTTGTCTTGTTGGCCGGCGGGAGGCGAAGCCAGGGAGAGAGGCTTGAGGTTCTGGCCGCCTCGGCGGGAAGCAAGTCCGGAAGCGGGCGTGGCAAGCCCGTTGGACTGGTTGTTGAAGTTGTTGGTGTTCATTTGTGCGAGACCAGCTGCGTCCATTGCGCAGATGAATGTGGGAAGATGGGCGTGCTTGTCGAGGTCGAGCTGACAGAAAAGAATGTGAGACGAGTCGAGCACAATATGTGGACGCCAGGTCAGATTAAGAGGTGTAGTCGGTGGAAGATGCGATATGGGAGAGACTGCACAACGAGAATTAAGGCGATCGAGTTGCCGGGAGGTAGTGGATGATTGCCAAAGAAGAAGAGAAACGAGATCCAAAATCCGTTATGAGACTGGTGACACGAGGCCAAAAGGTTGGGTGGGAAAGGACGTGGTGTTGATTCGGTTGGAAATTAAGTTGAAGGTTCGGGTCGAGAGATATAGCGAAGAAAGGAAAAGTCGATGATACGAGATGATCGAGTAGAAGAATGAACGGATGTGTGGCAGGATCAAGATGATGCTGCTGCCGATGCTGATGCCTGGTGAAGGAAAGAAGCCAGTTGAATTTCCAAGCAGGAGGCAGGAGATGCCGCGTGTGGTGGATGTCGAGAGCGTTTTGGGGGTACAGTCAAGCTGCAACCGTGACCTGATCGAAGGTCTATGGGAGGGGGGAGGACAAGAGGAGCGCGACTGCTTGTTCTTGAGCTTTCCAGCTGTGGCTTGGCAAAGTAATCTTTCCGCTGGAGAGCAATTCCGCGTGAGAGCAGGAATGTCGGCAGAAGGTGCACGCGTGCGCGTAGAAATTACTCGCCGCTGTGGCCAAGGGGAGGAGAGTGCAGCAAGAAGGGGGCGAAGAAGCGTTCGAATCAAGTCGAGTCGAAAAGTAAAGTACAGTTGATTAAAATGATCTTGTCAATGATGCGCTGCTTTTGATCGAATTGCCGTGTGATGTCGATGCCGAATGCAAATCGAAGGGGATTTTGCTTGGAAATGCGTGTCGTGTTGGGGAAGCTGTGGAAGGACAGGACGAGGCGAGGGTAGCCAGTTGTGGAGACAAGGTCGGTCGAAATCGGTTGAATTCCTGAGATTGTGGTGTGCTCTGCTGGTTCTTCTTTTTTTTGGGGAGGAGGAATTGATTTGCTGGGCTGTTTTCTTGTCTGTCTTGCTTTGCTAGATTCCGCGTCCTTTTCTAAACGACGACGAACAACGACTTTCGCGTACCAGAGCGGCGGGAGGAGGAAGGGGGGTTGAAGAGAGAGTCAGGCTGGGAAGAAGGAGGGAAAGGGGAGAAAAGAGAAGCAAGAGCAGCAGGCCAGGAAGCAGGAGACTGGGCGCCGCGGCGGTGTGGTGCAGCAGTAGGTGCCTTACTTAGCAGCGACAAGCCACGGGGACCAGCTAGAAGGGGGAAGGAAGCGAAAAAATAGGAGCAGGCAGGCCTGTGAGTGGACACTGGGCGCCTGGCACACTCCACTAGACACGAACAGCACAGCGAGCGACCTCTGTGAGGCCGCTGACTGGTCCGACTCGGTCCAGAATGGGGTGAGGTGATCCTGGCTCCTCTCTCTCACTCTCTCTCTCCCGCTCGCTCGCTCTCGCCTCGCCTGGAAAGCTAGCCTGGTGGATGGGCCTGCCAGCTTTGGCCCGCCCGCCCGCCGCCTGCCCAGTAGAACCAGAATAGGGCCTGTGCAGAGCGCCCTGGGGTACAACACCACCACGAGCCGACCAGACCACCAGTCCTTCATCTACCACCCACCACCGCCGCTGCACCTGGTGCGCAAGCGTGTAATGGGCGACTGGCAGTCCAATCAGAGCTCGGCACGATCGAATCCTCCCCCTGGAACGGCCTTGCCCTTCCACGATGCCCCCGTTCTTTGAGGCGAGGAGGCGAGCCCCGAGCCACGACCTGTGAGGTCCAGCCAACCAGGTAGAGCGGCGAAGCTGAACCCAGACTCATGCAGGGATTGCTCTCGATCGACGCCCGTGCTCTGTCACTGCTACCTGCCGTCGCGCACTTATCCCCGCGGCGAAACCGGGCTCGGCGTCAGGAGGGACAGGTAGCGAGTACCGCGTGACCAGCGCGATGCCAGGGTGGGACCCTGTCTCTGAGCCTCCTGACTGGCTCAGGTACCCAGATGGAAGACACGACTGGCAGGCACTGTGGGCAGGGGTCGAGAGGGGCAGGCAGGAGCAGCTGCGAGTCACTCCCTCCTTCCCCCCTGTTTTGTTCGCCCCTTCCCAATCATTCCACGCCCATCACAGTTCTGCCCGTGTGTCAGCATCGGGTCTGCTTGTCTGCCCAGTTTGGTCTGCGAGCCTCGGCGGCTTGAGGCTCCATGGCCTCAAAGCTTCGTTCGTGGGGCGAGGCAAGAACCTAAAGCTCAGATGCATCATCTCCTTCGCTCCAAGTGCGGCATCACATCTCGGCCAAGTCCTTGTCCCCGAGGATGCCGGGTGCTCGAGCCAGTCCATCTCTATCTTAGAGTTCGAGCCCCTGTCTATTCTTGACGATGGAGGCATGACCGAAAGTGAGCGAAACCCGCGGCACATTGTATTTTTGTCTCGATCTGCCTTCCTATCTGGCGTGCCCCGACGCGACAGCCTTGAGTACCTCGCGAACAGACCTCCTCTCAGCTATGCGAAACTACGGGAGCGTCACCTTCTCCTTTCTGGCCATGACATGCATAGACACGCCACGCATGTTCGACGATTTCCCATGAGTGTCCTGGCAGCAGCAGCAGCATGGAATTCCTAAATGGGAACTGGCTTTCTGTCACAGGCCGGACCATCCCTCAGTCTTCGCCTTCCATTCTCCCTGTTCCCACAGCCCATACGAATAATGACTGCAATATGTGCCACAAACTCAGATACCCTGCGAGCAAGCATGTTTCAGAGACAAGTACAAGTCAGTCAGCCAGCCATTCAGTCAGTCAGAACATGGTCGACACGTATTTACGATACTGGGCAAGGATATTAGCCTCCTTTCGTCTGAAGCCTCCTGACGGGACCCGCTCCAAGACAGCACGACAGCAGGCTCTTCCAAGGTTCCAAGGACATCCGTCCCCACGCGGGCGCTGTCATTTGGGCGAGCTGCTCGCCCGGTGCAATGACTCCATCGCGCATCTCGTGGACGTGTGCGACTACTCCCAGGGCCGTCGCCCACGAAGACCCCCTTACCCTATCTTGGAACCATGAGAGCAGGCAAGGGGCTCGGCTTCCCCCACCGTAAACACAGGCACACAGGCAGGTCAGCACCGCGAGAACGCAGGACCTGAGACGAGTGCTAGGCTCAAAGTCGTCAATCCCATGCTCAACCGCGCTGCGGAGGCCGTGCTTCCCCATGTTTGGGGGGGCTGAGGGGCATAAACTCCTGGCGAACTCAGTGTTACACCATGTACCATTCAGGGGAGCCCAAGAGTCCCGCTCCACCCCCTTGACGGCTCCACATCATCTCGTTTTGAGCTGGTCCTGCGCGACCTCGACGGAGCCTGATACCTCTTTATGGACAAGCGGTCTTGCCAAACGGGACAAACGCCATGCACTGCGCCTCCAGCTGCCGACATCTATCGAAAATCGGACTGGACTCTAACTTCCTCTCAATGTGTCTATCTGAGACTGGCGCGTCCTTTGAGTCAGAGCCGTTCCGCAGGAACGTGGCTCCAGGCGGCGGCTCCCATTTCCCGTCGATGGCGAGACATGCTCCTGCCATTCCTTTGCCCCTCTATCACTCTCAGGCATGCGGAAGGTCTATTCAGAGACCAACTTCACATGACTACTGACTCGAAGGGCTGGTCGTTGTAATTGGCCATGATCAAGCCCTTGGCAAGATACACAGCATTGCCGCCCCCTCGTTCTGCGTCCTGCATACTTGCCATGCCCGCAGCAGATGCAAGCCTCATCCGCCTCGCAGCACTAGCAGCGCTTAATGTGGTAACACGGAGTTGCGAGTCGCGGGCCGCTGGGCGAAGGATGCACAACACATTTTTGGCGGCTCCTCATCGCCAAGAGGGCGGCACACAGGTAGATCGCCAACGTGGCACCAGTGAACTTCGCAATCACCTGCAATTGCTGTCAGATACCATTTGAGCACGGCGCGCCACCCGGCGGTAATCATGGCCATCCTGACCTGCTGTTCTGAGTGATGTCCCCCACACTATAAATCCATATCTGGTGGCCACAGGTGGTGCGTACTTAAAACCAATAGTTTCGAGCCGAGATCAATCCGAAAAAACCAGCACTGATTCGGTTCCTAGTATGGGGCTACCCGTCACGCCATGTTTGTTCCTGTCATCAACGGGCTTCAGCAGATGTGATTGTGGAATATCACATCTCGACACGTACACAGAGCCACCACCTATGTAGTATAGACATGTCGATTAAGCGCCTGTTCATCCAATGAACATAACTTCCAGGTTTGTTTGTGGACTCTTACGTCAAACACGCACGCCTCGTGTATGGGAAGAGCCAGGCCAACGCGTATAAAGGCTGCTGTCATGTTGGCCGTCTTACCGGGGCTGTGTGCAAACCTGTCGCGATGCTGTTGAGAAGGGAGTCAATCCACGTGCGCTACAAAAGCAGCCGCCAGCGATGCCATTGGATATGGTCTAGGCCAGATATTGCGAGCTGCCGCTACAACTCTGCTGCAACTATTGCCGCCAGCCCTTGTGGGGCTATCCGCACAGGATCCACCGTCGATTTCTTGCCTTGGGGAATGCCTGTGGAAGCTGGTAAATGATGACATGATGAAACCTGCAACAATTACCTGCGCGACAGAGGCAAGAGGTGGCATGCTTGGCAACGTCACAGCGATGCGAAGCCTCGGACGCTCGCTTCTTCGACTAGCGAATTTGCGTCAACCCGCCATTTCGTGGCCATGGAGACGTCCTTGATGGATGAATAACTGCCGAGCCAAGTGTACTCTTCATCTCCCGATCAACAGGACAGATTCAAAATCTCAGTCGCGGTATCGACGTTGTTGTTGAGTAGCCTTCCAGAGATACCCTATTGCTGGAGAACACCGCGGAGGGCCACCATGATTTCTTCGCTACTCACCAATTATCATAGGCTCAAGGCCATGATTCTCCAGCCTAGCGAAGAGGACGAGTAACTTGTCGCCTGTAATT